AAAGCTTATTAGCTGGCTTATTAATTCTCCCCTCAAATAGCCAAGTTCATTTACAAGTTGCTAAACAAACATCGGCGTTTATGACGCTGGGGAGGGACATTCTAGTGAGTTAGCCAGTTATGATACCTGGGACTAAGCCTTAGGAAGGAAAAAGAATTCTGAAAGGATGCGAGCAATTTCTTCCCTCATTGGCATTTCTCCTCTCTCCCTGACCTAGCCCTGTTCGCGGTTTTCAAATGCACAGTTTTGAATGTTCTCCTTAAGGACATGAGCGCCGAAACATCTTTTGGGATTGACGTAAACAGGTACAGAGGTTTTGTCATTTAATGTCACTACGAGCACAACATTTGGCTGGTGTCAGAGTCCGCGATCCGTCGCAGGTTTCGCTGATTTTCGCGATTTGCGCGATTCACGCGATTTGCGCGAAACCTGCGACGGATCGCAAAAATTGCAAGTGTGTGAACATTTGAAACACTGAATATGAAACAAGTGGAATCATGAGCAGTCGTCATTCAGCCATCACTATCAAGCAGAAGTGGCGGCAGGATTGGAGAACACCTTGCAGTATTGATCGGGCACTTGTGATTTCCGTGACCCGTCGCGTGAATCGCGCAAATCGCGAAAATCAGCGAAACCTGCGACGGATCGCGGACTCTGACACCAGCCTTAGGTGTAATTTTGCGTAAACGCTTGCGAAAGTGAAAACAAAAGATAAAAACGTTCAGGCAAAGCACAGGCATTCGGTTTAGAGAACTGAAAAAATGTATCGACAAACCTGGACTACCAAAATGTGCTCCGCTTTCTGTAATGCCGCTTCTGGCTCCGCTACAATACGATCTTGTTTACGTGCCATGACCTCTCTGGCGTGCTGAAGACCTACAGTTCCAGGACTGTCTAGCAGGATCAACTGTACGTCATCTTCTGTCAGTACCGCATCAATATTCTGAACGACACACGTCAATTAAATTTTGAGGAATACCTTTCTGAATACACAGACCATGAGATGACCTTGCAAACCTACTTAGCGTACAGTTTAACACTGTGAAATGCAAACATTCTCAAGTTCCTGCGCTAAAGTGTGGAACTACAAATTAGCAGGGCGTGGCTAGTGCCGCAGTAATCGAAATTGTGCGTGCTTTGGTGGATGTCAGACTCGGCGAATGTCAAACGCGATAGTGACAGCGCGCCCAATGGAAACCATACGGATCAATAACGACACGCCCCCCCCTCTTGGCCATTGTGCAGCAAACAGCCACAACGCTGTCGCGACTGCGCAGTCGTCGAGTCTGACATCCACCTTTCCAATGTCCCTGAATGAAG